AACTGACGCCCTCCTTTTCCGCCGCCTCTCCGATGGTAATTACCACCGCCGCAGAGCGGGGCGGCTTTAGCCTCGAAGGAAGCGGCGGGCCAGTCTTCTTTGGGGGCGTCGAGTTCACCTTCTTCTTCGCCGGTTGGGGATCGGCGACCGCCTCTTGGCCGGGTACTGTGGCCATCTTTCCCCGGCTACCCCTCACCACCGTTGCCCACGAGGAACATCCGGCAGCTGGCTGTGTCGCTGGGATAGTCGGGGGCTCCACCGCGGGGGCTGCCCCTGCGGCGCAGATTTTCGCGCCTTCTTTCCCTTTGCGGCCTTTTGGCTTTGGGGAGCAGGACCCCGGTCTTCTTCGCTTGGAGCGACAGGCTGTGACACCGCTGCTCCTTGCTCCGCCTGCGCAAGTTGGTCGGCGCTTGATGGGGAGGGCTTAGGAAGCCTGGTGTTCACTTCCTCCATGAACTGCCCCATCAAGTTCCCCATCATGGAGCGTACTGTGCCCCCGACGTCCCTCATAATTTGGGCCCTGAAAGACTTTAAGTCGTCCAACGAGGGCCCGCCTCCTGGAGTGGCCTTAGCCGGTGCCGCTTTTGCAGCTCGGAGTTCAGCCACTTCTTTGCGGAGTTCCTCCACCTCCCTTTCCAGCCGGAGATTTCGGGCCAGGATGGGCGCGACAGAGCGCGGGACCACATCAGCCGATAGGGCGCCTATTATCCGGTTTATTCCGGCAAGTCCCTCTTTCATGTCCCTGATCGACGTACCCTTTAGGTTACCGGATTTCCGGATTAACTCTGCGATGGCCTCTGTGTGCTCATACACTGCGAGACGAACTCTATCTATCGCCTCATTCGCCGCAGTGTTGCCATCTTCTTGAGGTGTTTTAGGTGGTACATCCTCTACCGTCACGTCCGGGTTCATCGCCGATTTTCCTCCTTCGAAGAATTCATACCGGAACGAGTCCAGTTCTTTCCTCTTTGCAGCCGATATTCTGCTTTTGGCACCAGCGCTTCTTTTCTTCCCCTCCTTCTTTGAAGAGCGACTGGTGTTTGCCGCCGACGAGTCTGAGTCATATTCAGACAGACGCCTTTTGCGCCCGGATGGCGCGGCATCCTCAAACTCCATCTCATCCATAGTTGTTGCCCGCGAGCTCGACCGCGAAGAACCGCAGTCGATCCCGCGCGCAACCTTAGACCTAGTCCTTCGCGCCACTCTTTGGTCCGTCACCTCCGCTCCCGACATTGACCACAACTCCACGTCCGTGTTTCCAAGGCCTCTAGGGCCAGTCTCCTCTGACACCTTCCTATCCAGCACCACGATGCACTCCCTTGCCATCACTTCCTTCACCACCTTTTCCGCCATTTCCACGTCCTTCTCGGACACTCTCTTCACTACGTCCTTCTCAGACACCTCATCATTTTTTGTTTTTTGTCCATTTCCATTTTAGTCCCACGAGTAGTGGAGAAAGTTGCACAGTAGGCAGAGCTCCTATACCTATCTGCGGCCTCATACGACTGAGTGCGGCTAGTTCTCAGAAGTTGGTGCCCTCGCGGCCGAAGTTACTCCTCCGACCCGGACGCCCTGGGAAACACGCTAGCTGAAATAAAATTCCAGCAGCGTGCTCCGCAGGACGACCTGTCCCTCGCCGGGCACCGAGCTTAAACAAGAGGTTTTTTATAGAGGTTGACTCCTCGCGGCCCCGGGCAATTAAGCCAAGAGCCCCCGCTCCCACACTGGGCCGATAGACGTGATCACCGACACCCAGTGCAAGTTTACGGTTTGAAGTCAGTTGCACCGAAGTGCTGTCCGGCTGCGCAGTTAAGCACCCACCGGACCTGACTTGCCAGTAGGCAAAGAAGAAAAAGAGGAAACGAAAACAGAACGACAGAAAAGATTGTAAGAGAAAGAAAAGAAAAAGACGAAAACAGAAAAAGACAAAAGGAAGTGCCTACTCCTACTCGCCGGACTATCGGCCGACATAGTAGCAGTATCCCGAAGGAACGTCTACTATCCCGCCCAGGGCGTACCAGAACCAAACCATTGCTCGGCCACCGTTCCCCGCGGACGTATCCACGAGGATGGGGAAGCCTCCCAATGGATGGCCCATACTTGGAGGTTGCCCGACACACGCCCCAACCTAACCTAACCTAACCTAACCTAACCTAACCTAACCGGAGGTTTAATTTGTTCGCATGTCATTGATAGGAAATACACATTATGAAATTGTATCGCGTTCTAACTATTGCTTGCCGCGCCATCTAACGCGCAGTGGCTTAATTCGCTCTATGATTTGCGAAAAGCGTGCTAAGGTGCTAGAGGGTGGGGTTATGCTGCTGCACGTTAGATGGCGCTATCGCATATTCTACTACTACTACTACTTTAATGTCGGAGATCTACCCGGATATCTTTATTATATCTGTAATTTACGTTTGAACCCAACGTAGTATGGCGCTATCGCTCTTTCTACTACTACTTTAAGCGTGCTAAAATGCTAGGGGGGGGGGGGTTATGCTAGTGCACGTTAGATGGCGCTATCGCTACTTTAAGCGTGCTAAGGTGCTAGGGGGGGTTATGCTGCTGCACGTTAGATGGCGCTATCGCTCTTTCTACTACTACTTTAATATCGGAGATTTACCCAGATATCTTTATTATATTTTTATTAATTTACGTTTGACAATGAACCCAACGTAGTATCGCCGTCGCATCTCTGTCACATTACGTGGAATTCGGATTGCATTCGGAGGAGTGGGAGCGGGGGGGAAAGGGGGAAGGGTGCGATCACCACCTGGTTGTCAAACACACCCGTGACTACTACCTTGCCGGTTCTAGGTTTCGGTCGAGAACTGTGACTCCACCGCATGTCCAATCGCTCACCATATGCTCACATGCTCAATCGCCACCGTTACATTACATTCATTGGCAGCTCACATATGCCCTCCCCCCGCGCATAGTACGCACTGTGCTCGGCTTCACAGCCGCGCAGACTTCAGGTGCAACAAAACGTCGCTCTCACTCTGTACGCAAATGCCGAACAGTGAATGGTGAATGGACACCAGAGTATGGCAAAAGAGGCGGCCACCACAACCATTGTAGGTATATCGTGGATCGCCGCAGTCAGACAGAGGAACCTCCCGACAAATGTAAAGGTGATGTTCGCTCGAAAGCGCGACCTTCGATGCCTCTGGGCATACAGCATGCATGCGCTGTGAAGCGGCCAGCTTAACAGCCAGTGCGGTTTTGCGTGATGTCGCCTGAGAACAGATTATCGACTAGGGAGCAGGACTGGGATCTCCCTAGGAGGTAGGGGGGTGCCTTGGGCGAATGCTTTGCGTTCCCATGGCCCGGGCGATATAATTCAAGGAGGAATAGTCGTCAGGTTTTTAACAGGTAGGAGTCCGGCAGTATCCATTCCTCCCTAAGGGAATGGTTTTCCATGATGGATTTTCCAGTCAAAATAATCGCGTTATAATTTACTCAGTTGCCGTTCAGCGCACACGGTCATCAGTCATCTTTATCTCGAGATGCAGCTAATCACTGTTAAATTTGACATGAAAACGTAAAATGTAAGTATTTTATAGCATTTATTTTTTACTTTAACATTTTAGATTAGAATTATGAAGAAAATTAATATAATAGAAAGAATGCTGAGGACAGTGCTATGATCATGAGAGTACTTCTGATCATTTTATAAGTGCTAAGAAAACAGAACTTATGAATCTAGAAGACGATGACATAACAATTGATGAGTCTGATCATTTGTAAGATTTAGAATAATATAATTTTTAATTTTAAAACTATTGTCAATGTGATAATTGGTTTTGTTATATTGCGAGTCTTGTTTTAATTGATTTTTTAAGCTAAAAAAAAAAAAAAAAAAAAAAAAAAAAAAAAAAAGGGGGGGGGGGGGGGGGGTGCTGTTGATATAGGGATTAAAAATTCACCAATTTATTGTTTTTGTTTTTGTTTATAGGCTTATCTACTTTATTATTTAATAAATTCAATTACTTTCGTTCCTATCCTATCCTATACTGTGATTATTAGAGATTAGTCTAACTAATTACATTATAATTGATTTCTGTTCCCATTACTAAATTAAAAAAAAAAAAAAAAAAAAAAAAAAAAAAAAAAAAAAAAAAAAGATTGTTGTTTTTTATGCTGTTACATCAATTTCATATACTAATAAATCTGTACAATTATAAGTGCTTTTATAGTTCAGTTAATCTCATTTTTCTAATATAAATAACTACCCAACGGAAAGGTAGATTTATCATATAAATAAAATTGGAGTGTTTTTTAATTTGAAATAAGTCTTTTTTTTTTTTTTTTTTTTTAAATACTGATACCTGTAATCAAAATTTTTTTTTTGAAGGGCTGTTGATATAGGGATTGAAAATCAAAGACACGACTGATTCACCAATTTATTGTTTTGTAGTTACTTTATTTTAAAACTATTATATCAATGTAATATTTAACCAACGTTTGTATTTACATGTAGAATGCTGTAGAGAGTATAAAGACGGTCTCTACAAATAGTAAGTAGGTATTTACAATGTACACACAACAGCTGCCCTCCGAGGGACAGATGTCCACTTTTGTGAATATGTTAACAGTAAACAACTAATCCTGAATAACATCGTCATCGTCATATATCTCTCCACCGACAACACAACAGCCACATCACAATGCAGTAGTCAAATCACAGGGCGACAGTCCCGAGTCGCGAACACGCTTCTAGCGAATTGATTATAATATCAATATATATATATATATCGTTAATATGTGCTATATATATATATATCTGAACCCAGAATTATTTTTCTCTCGTGATTGTCATTTAAAGTTCAGTAGAACATTTAAATAAATACATAAACAACCTCATTTGTTTATCGTGAGCAACGTAATGTACGACACACGTATCACTCCGGTAGACGAGTGTCGGTGGTGCTGACGTCACACAGGGTCACACACGTCACACAGGGTCACGGTGGGCGGTGGGTGGTGGGGTCAGTTCAGGAGCGGAGCGCGACCGCGAGCGCGGCGGCCAGCAGGCGCAGCGCGGCGCCCGCGGCGGACGCGGACCGGGCGCGCGCCGCGTTCGTGTTGCGGCTCAGGGTCGCCGCCATCTTGTCACCTGCACCGCATCATACATTATACATGTATAATCATTACATAGTATGAAACAAAGTCGCTGTCGCTGTCTGTCGGTGCCTAAGTGAGCTTAAATCTTTAAAACTACCCAACAGATTTTGAAGCGAATTATTGTAGAGGTAGATTTATACATATAAATAAAATTGGAGTGTTTGTTTGTAATATTGATGACGAAACACACACCACGATTGTCAATTCGGTTTTTTTTTTTTTTTTTTTTTTTATTAATTTTTTTCAAAATATCCTTTAATTTTTTTTTTTTTTTCCGGTTAATCTCTGAAATGGCTGGACTGATTTTGACAACTAAAATGGATGCGATAGATGTTTTTTGTGACTTTCTAAGGCTTTTATTGCGTTGATAATACATTGTAAAAAAAAAAAAAAAACTTTTTATGGCGTCAAAGACATTTTTATTTTAAAACTTTCTATCTTTAGCAAAAGAAAGTGAAGGTTAGCAACGCTACGTCTGAAGTCGCGGGAACATGGTTAGTATGTAAGGATATATTCTCGGTCCATTTTTATTCCTAGTTTACATTAATGAAGCCGGTGTGCAGGATAGATGCGGATAGTATTATATACTTTATTGATTTTTAAAGTTAATAGAATGACTAATAGTGTGTGTGTGTGTGTGAGTGTGAGTGTGTAGGTAGGTAGGTAGTTTACAACTAACAATGTTATGTGTGTAATTAATTTCACTGTCTAAAAGTTTTAATACTAAGCGACATACGTAGATGTGGGCGAATCTCTGTTATCAAACGCTCAATTTATAGCGGCGCAGCAGGTGTAGTTGCCGGAATCACACTAGTTAATAAAACACAATGGCGGCACAAATGGCAAACCCTTGCACTGCGTCTTGGGCCCTGCTAGATTGACGACGGTGACGCCGCGCGCATAGTTTATTCTCGTATGGAATATGATCATGCGCGAGTTAAAAATATATTCATATTACAAAAGAAGCACGTACTGCGGCGGCACCGGACTCTGCCAACCACACCACACACATACATACTACATTACAATTACAATCTATAATTCAATATATATATATATATAGATATTAATATATCTATATATATATATATATATCATAATATTACCACAGATTTAATGACTTTTTGTGAATGCTTTAGAAAAATTAATGTCAATGGGAATCGTATAAAAATTTTGAAATACAAAATATGCTTGTAATGATTCGTTCAAAACATATGTTAAATCATATTTACTGAGCACCGCCAAGGAGCAGAATCCTAAAACGATCTAATTGAATCGAGTGCTCAACGGATCAGTTGTTGGCCTGAATTATAATTTTTTAGACATGATGCCTATATAAATATACATTGTAAATCCTCTTAAAAAAAAAAAGCTGTGTTCCAACTTCAAGCGGGGCCGTTCTTCTCTGGATCTATATTTTTCGGCGGTAGGGAAGATACAATTATAATGTAAAAATTTGACTGGGTTGTCGCGGCTAAAATGTCCTACATGAATTTTGATTTTTGAATTTGAATTTCCGAAGCGAAACACACACACACACATTATATAAAATATCATGATAGTATGCATGGTCACACTTTTTTAATACATTGATGGTGGATGCTGCGTTTTTTTTTCGTCTACAAAATGAACGCCTCCGGCACCGCGATGTGCAGGTGCACCAGCCGCGACAGCGTGCCAGACCCCGTCGACACCTGACAAACACAACACACACACACACACTGATATACATCCATAGTATTATGTCACACATGTTACATTTTTAAATGCCCTTTTTTGTTAAAAAAAAAAAAAAAATATCTTACACCTACTCAATACGCTCACAAAATGTCATGAGAATCGGTCAAGCCGTTTCGGAGGAGTATGGGAACGAAAACTGTGACACGAGAATTTTATATATAAGATTATGGTGTAGTATAGTAAGATGTAGTACCTACTGGTTATAACTGCTCGCCTCGCTACTTACCTCTCCTGTGTGAGCGATGCAGAGTATCAAAACTAATACGTGTTGAATACAACATGGCAAACAAATACTAAATTAGTTTTGAAATTAGTAATAACCACACAAAGCAATCAGTGGAGTGGAGTTAGAAGTCAATTAGCTTGCCACCACCATTAGTGCACCACCAACCAACCGGCCGGTACACTCTCACTGACAGCCAATTAAAATAACATTTATATGTTAAACAATAGTTGATTATATATCCTCATCAATTCTGAACTGATTACGATCACTTTATTTAATATTAAGTAATTTCACGTGTTTAACAAAATGTTACATATATATTAAAACGTGTCACGTGTCACGTGTCACGTGTCACGTACCTGACACTCGTAGGTGCCGTTGTCCCTCTTCTGCACGTACTTTATCTGCAGGATCCAGTCGTCGGAACCCTCGCTGTGCAGCACCTGGCCACAACGTGCACCACGTGTACATTACTACACATATCAATGAGTTGACAACACTATAATCCAAGAGCCCATGGCGGCCAGACCTTCGTACTATCAGTAAATGTGAAATTTCTTCTATGTGTTTTCCCAACTCAGGTAACAATGATCGAACAAACGATGCAGGTTTCATAGGTGGGGCCCATGAAACCTGCGTCGTTCGTTCGTGGTTCCTTTGGCAGGTAACAAACGATATGAAATTTTATACACCTTTGTTACCTGTTACCTGCCCAAGTTTCCACGATTCAAGTTTCATGTGTCGGGGACACACATAGAGGTCGAGGTCTGGCCGCGATGGCCTCTTGCTCTACTATAATGATTCAATGCTTTAATTTACTTGAAAGCGCTCGTCGTTAGTGTACATGAGCACACCGGAGCTGATGATGTGCCAGTCTCGGCGCCGCACCCACGACACCTGCAATCAGTAATTGCTATTTATACTTAATGGCACTTCTCAAGGCACTTTAGTAGATTAAAAAAAAAAAATCAAAGTCCACAAATTTTGAAAATTTTAAATTCATAGTTTAACAAATAGTTTTAATTCTAGAAAACTTGGGGCAATTGCGTCGTTATTTTTGACTGTGGTTCTAGAAATCTATTTTGGGTTACGGTTCCAAAATTTAAATGAACAAAAATAATAAAAATTAACCACCATAACCGAAAAATGGTTACAGTTTGACCAAATGGTTTTTCTTAAATGCCCATAATTTTCAAACTGCATGTGATATATTATATTTCTGATTTATTTTTTTTATTTTTCTCATGATGGTTACAATGAATCGTGTCACAGTGTAGTGATACACAGGCCTAGTTAATAGAGTGAATACAGTAGACATAGACCGTGAATACTGACAAACAGATAAGTTACTGAAAAACTACTAAGTTAATGATTTAAGGAGATGTGTGCGTGTGCGTGTGCCTGTGTGTGTGTGTGAGTGTGTGTGCGTGTGTGTGTGTGTGTGTGTGGGCGGTGTACTGACCCCTCTCTCCCCGAGATTCCGCACGGGGCAGTGCAGGAAGGCGACGGCGCCGAGCTGCGCCAGCACGTCCTCCTGCGTGTTGTTGATGGTGGGCTCGCGCAGCACGTGCAGCGCGTCCAGCGAGCCGTACCACAGGTCGCGCCACGCCGGCACCTCCGCCATCTCCGCGATCTCCGCCATCTCCGCCATCTGCGCCACGTCCACCTCGTCCGCGCCGCCCGCCTCGGTGGCCGCGCCCCCCGCGCCCGCCGCGCCCGCCGCGCCGCCCTCCTGGTCCGTCTCTACCGCCACTATAGACGACCTCCCGACGCGACGCAGCCGCTCTGTGCATTCAAAACCATTGACGATTTAATTTATGATTGACATTAATATAAAGTGAGGCCCGCTAGCAATGTATCACGTCAGGTCGACCTCTACGCGGTTCTCCATTGGAAACCATCGTGATAAATTCCCGATTAACTGATCTGACATGTTCATCCTATCATCCTCCACTGGTGGCACTATTCCATTATCATGCATGCATATCATTATATATATATATAAAGTGTGTCGTATGGTGTGTTGTCGTCGTGAGTGGTGAGTGGTGAGTGGTGAGTGGTAGGTACTGACCGCGGGGTGCGGCCACGCGGCCTCCTCCGGCGGCGGCTGTGAACGCTGCGATGAGCGCCACCGTGACGACGGCGGCCACCATGGCGGCTGCTTAGGACAGCGCGGGCCGCCTCTCAGTACCGCACGCTGCACCACGCCGCACCCACGCCATCCGCCTACGTGTCCTACCCTGCAACCAAGCAATACCATACTGCTACTTATTGTTCTACTAAAGCACCTACTAATTAGAAGGTAAACACTCTAAATAAATATTATATATGTCACTCTGTCTATCTATCTGTCGCGCTGTCACGTCACAAGTACTAACCCGATTTTAATGAAATTTTGTATACGGCTAGTCTGAGCCCTTATAATGTACAGGCCAACATTTTTTTTATTGCAACAAGGGGTTATAAGAGGAGATGAAAGATTGTTTAGAAGTATCGTCATTGTTAAAGCTAGAAGTGTGAAACTTATTTGTTAGGCTATTGATTAAAATTAAAATAATATGACAGTCAAAATTAAAAAAAAAAAATATACCCCTAAAAGATTAAAAGAAAATAGGGGAATGCAGTTTGTATGGAAATCCGTGATTTTGAAGTAAGAACAATGAAACTTTTTTTCTTTGGATTTTTTTGGGATAGCTTGTTTTTGTGATCAAAAATAAAGTAGTATTTTTCCTATTACATAAAAATATATATACATAATTGAAATCCTATGTATACGTAATACTCGTATATACCTATATAGGTCTGTTTTAACTTTTTATTTATTAGATTCAATGGTATTAATGTAGGCTGGGTCCGATCCTTCAACAAATAGTATAATGTTGTTGCTATAGTATAATCTAGTGCGTGGAGTTGCATCAATCTGCTAATCTGAATATGCAACGCAACACGAGACCGCGATCGGCGCTCTCGAGGGCGGCGGGGGCGGCGGGGGCGGCGGGGGCAGCGGGGGCAGCGGGGGCGGAGGGGGCGAGACATTACCGTTTAGGAGAGATGTTTTTATATGCGGTGACATGAAAGGGTTATCGTAAATAAGTGGCGACGGTTACGGACAGGTTGCGGGGCGCGAGGCGGGGCGCGGGGCGCGGGGACACGCCGACCGCCGTAAACTTAATGCTGGTGATTGATGACCGCCCCGCCGCCCCGCCGCCCCGCCCGCCCCGCACCAGATTGATGTGTTTTTTACGAGGTGATGTGTACTGTACATTGTACACTGTACACGTCGGTACAGTGTTGTGTACTTCCTGCGTCGCCGCCGCCGCAGCAGCCCGCGCGGGAACACACGTTACGTATGGGATGACACGCCATGTACAATATATACTGCACTCTACAGACATCACACACACACACACACATATTCCTCTTCGACTTTAGTAAAATGTGATCAAATTTCGTGGCGATCCAGAAAAAGTTCCCCAATTCGTAGAATCAACACTCATATTAGTCAAAATCTCTCACATAAAAATTTATTGAAATTATAAAAAAAAACTTAGCTGAACGAAGTCGAAAATAAAACGGTTACCTTATTACAAAGAAACACCGTTATGATCATCATTGTAATGAGCAAACCATTTTATTTTCGATCCTAAAGGTTTACATTTTATCAGTGGTGTATACAACATATCTTTTAAATTGGTTTTACAGGCCAGACATGAAAACATTGTTATGTTTTAACTAATCAAACAGACAGAGTTACTTTCTCATTTAAAAGTCATAAGAATGGGGCACGGGCTGGACATCGAATTATTTATTAACCGAAAACAAAATTAGTGAATATTTTTGTCACAAGCTATAATAAAAAATTATCAATAATTAAAATTTGTAATAATTTAGCAATATTTATCGCAACCTACAAGTGGGAATATTAAAGAAATCCCAGCAAATATATGAATATTACATTACAATTTATAATATGTTTTTTGAAGTATCGCTATGTTATTTTAATATACTATATTAGAAGAATACTTGAAATCCAACATCACATAAAGGCTTGCTTCTATTTTTTTATATTCCACATTTACATTTAACTTAACTGTCACATACGAGTTTAATATTCGGTGGTACCAACACCAGTGGTACTCTCGTCACGTTACATATAACCGAGTACAGCACGGGTACAGGCGAGTACAGGCGAGTAGAGCGCGAGTACCCGTAGCTGCTACAAGCTAGGATGTCCCGCGTAATGTTAACAGGTCCGCGACACGGCAATTTCCGATTCCGCGCTAACTGGCCGTGACCTTGCATTCTATTAGATGTATCCAATCGATACCGTTCACATGGCGAACAATTCGTTTGTCCTAAATTTGATTTACTAGGAGGCGCACAAATATCATAACTTGGGTCGGTGGCGTAACCTACGTACATTAGGTATCACCACTTTATTCAATTCAGAATAGTATATAGCACATGACACAGCTGTGTACACGATACAAGAGCAGAATGTGAAAATAAAAACGTGTAGCATGCGTTCTGGCTGCACTGCACTGCACTGCACTGCACTGCACTGCAGCACTGGAACCATATTGATAATTGTATGCAACGATTGAAGTTTACATTCAATTCAAAGGAACTTCAATAGTCTTGATAGTCTTACTAATAAAAAAAACGCGTAATTTTTTGAGTATGGATGGATAGATGGAAGGTTGATACTCTTTCACGCAAAAACTACACAACTTTTGATAAAACCACAGATAAAATAATAAAACTTTACAACTTTAATATAACTTTACATCAGAATAACACATAGGCTATAAATTACATGCAGGAGTAACAGCGGGCGCAGCTAGTATATAGTATACAAAAACTGGCATCGTAAATCGTTAGCGTGGGCCACCTGCCCACCGTTCCATTATCGTCCATTAAAGAAAATATACACGAATCCTTCATATAGGTACATGAACAGAAAAAGTACAAAAGTGGCATGAACCCTCAATAATAATCGCAACCATTGTACAGTGAACAAACACGACAATTATTAAATGCAAACAAAACTAAGTGTGTTAAATTTATTATTTGGTGAACCCAATGTAAGGCAGGTGGACTCAAAAGTCAAATTGGACAATGGACCTATTCATTTTGTTGATGATACCGTGTTTCAATGTTATATGATTGAACAGAGATTAAGTGCGTATCGGTTTCTATGTTGATTGTCGCATGCCTAATCCTTAATGTCAATCACAATTACATACATATAAATACAATAAAATTTAACAAGTTTCTTGCTCGTTCGTCTTGTAACGAGTATACGTTCAGAATGTGCGGTAGAATAAAAAAAAAAAAAATGTGACTATTCAAAAGTGCTTATATAAAGTTTATTAGATTAATATTATTTTTACATTAGACTGTAAGTTGCAAAGGGATTCCGAAATCTTTAAATTGGCGAGTAGACTTGGTTCTGTTGGATATGCGTATACATAAATAATTAGACAATTAACAGACTAGCATAGCAACGATTAAACTATTTAGTATTTTGTCATGAGGTAAAGCAGCTGATATAAATACAATATTAAAATTAATAGATAGGTAAATAAAATTTTTATTTACGTTAAAAACAAACATCAAAACTAGATACACAGTTACATTGGTCAGTCAACAAAATACAATACAATACAGATAAAATATAATACAGGTACAAAAAAAAAATAGTCCATACGCAAAAATGGCAAAATCGCCTGCCCCAATAGTTTTATGGTATGGGTTCCAGGGAGTCATTGCGAGAGTGTTTTAAAGATCAAATATCCTCACAGTTACTCAATACGTTTCGAAAATGTCATATATACCATGAAATCATGACATATTTCAATATTTATATATTATATATATATACTAGGAAATATATTGACAGTTGAAAAAAAAAGTTTGTGATTACACTAAAAAGCTTACGTAATAACAACAAACTCGTTTTACCTAAACGGCGTTTGACTAAACTTAGTAATTCTTTTTATGGGAATTGCGTAAGTTTTTATAACAACCAACTGTCAGACCTTGTCCTAAATATCGCAGACAAAAGATTCAAATGTCTTATAAAACACTTTCTTTGTTAAGAAGCTTATTATAAAATTGAAAATTTTATAAATGTTTAACTAAATAATAAGTGATCTAACGTAAAATTCATGCGCCGACAACATTTACCTGATTGTACAAAGAATGTGTGCATAACTGTTTCTATGCTGATTGTCGTATGCCTAATCCTTGTTATTGTATATTAAAACAACATTTATTCAAAAGAACAACACGCAAGTTTCTTGTTCCTTCTTCTCGGGATGACAGTTTCCGATTGAGAGGTAGAATAAAAATAATATGACTATTCAAAAATGCTTACGTTAAGTTTATTTCTACTTCTATACCGAATGTTTAAAAAAAGCCGAATGGATCAAATGTTACATAGAATTCCTATCTGCCTTATCTAGTCCGAATACTGGTCAATACTTATTAAAAAGCTTAGCGTGTTTTAAAACATCACATACCTGTGATGTGATTTAGTTTGATACATTACGCTATTTTGTAAACTATTTTAATTTCATTCAAATTCAAATTCAAAATATCTTTATTCACGTAGGTCTATTACACACTGTTATGATATGTCAAATCTACCGTCAGTTCGGAATGATTTCAAGATGAGGATGAGGATGAGGATGAATTTTAATAATAGAAGCCAACAGAATATCAGCGCTGCAGTTTTATCTGTAGCTTTATGCTGAGTTGGTTGCTTATTCTCCTATGCGGCACATGAAGCTACCTCCACTTCTATTATTTGTATCCCTACTTATTTTCCTATACCATAATTATATAATTATTAAATCTCTTGTATTGGAGTAATTTAAAAGTAAAACATAATACAACCAGTGTTCTGTTCCACCCTGTGTGTACGACGGCACAATGTCTTATCACTTCCCATCCATTGGTGTGTGAACTAGGTCATCCTGGAGGCTGCATTGCAAACTAAATACGGAGCCTGATATCTTAATTACATCAAGTTTGATTGGAGACGTAAGGCTATCTAACTATCAAAACTATTAAGGGTGAGGTCGGCCGTTGTCGCCGTCCGCCGTCCACCGTCCGCCGTCCGCCGTCCGCCGGCGCGGCCGTACGCCCTCGTAGTTGTTTAGAGTGACTCTCATCAATCATCCGTTCGAGACAAGTAGCCATACAAGTATTCTCTATAAGTGCCCACACTGACTCGTTACTAGTATACATTAGTTTAGTAATTCATTTACATCAATACTAATAACTAGTCGGAGTTTCGGAGTACAACACAACTCTACTTGGGAACTTTTTTTTTTATGAATTTTAATGGTATGGTGCACCGGCCTGCGTTAACGGTATATCGCTAGTAGCGAAGCACTAGTGGAGGATGATAAGGTGAACATGAGGTCATGTCAATTAGTCCATCGTGACAAATACACCAGGAATTTATCACGATGGTATCCAGGTGAACCGCGTGGAGGTCAACCTGACATGGTACATTGCTAGCAATGGGGTCGTGAGTTCACATTACTAACAATCTCGTTCCCCCTCTAGTATATATTAATAATGCAAAAATAAACATTTACTGACATTAGTTGAAGGCGCAAGTCTCATCATGTGAATACGGCAATACATCATCAATACATTTATGAAAATATCATGTACGCCAGGAAGAATATAGACAGTTTCAAAAGAGTTAGTGATTGCACTAATAAAAGCTTACGTAACAATAACAAACTAATTTTACCTAAATGTCGTTTGGCTAAAGTTAGTAATTCGTTTTATGGCAATTGCGTAAGGTTTTACAATAAAATACCAGAGTCTGTTATAAATCTGCCAGAAAAATTATTAAAATGTCAAATAAAACAGTTCTTTGCAAAAAAAGTCTACTATAAAAGTTGAAGAATTCGTTAACGATAATAATGTTTTTATAGAAAAACTTTAAATCCATAGCACTGACAATATTATCTGATTACACTAATAATGAGTGCATAGCGATTTCTATACTGTATACACATGTTATACTGTAATTATTTATATAAATAAACATCTATTAAAAAGAGCAACACACAAGTTTCTCGCTCAATCTTCTTGTGATGAATCTGCATTCCGAATGAGTGGTAGAATCAAAATATGTCTATTCAAAAGTGCTTGTAATGAGTTTATTTGAATAAAGATTATTTCTATTTCTATTTGACACCTCCGTTGAATGACTCTATTGAACTTATTTGTTTACTTAGTATAATGTGTACTGAAAATTTTCAGTCTTGGTCACTCCTGTTTTCTTATACCACGTAAATCTATGTTTTACAAGACCATTCTTTGAGTTTTTTTCTCTGTTACAAAAGCTAATCAATCATGTAAGGAGACTGTATGTACTGTAAAATGATGTCAAATATATGAAAAATTAAATACATAAATATCAGCTCCGAATGATTTGTAATTGCTAAGAAAAATTTATATCACTAACATCAATATTGGGGATGCGTCGTCATAACATGCCTGGCAGTAGCCCAAAACCCTTTACAAAAAAAAATATACGATGACAAATATAGCTATACAAAGTGGCGGAAATTTCTTTCGTAAGTGTTGTAGTTTGGTTTGAGATGGTACAAGGGTACTACTGTACTAGTACTAGCATAATCTTAGAATTTGATGATGAAGCGGTATAGAAAACTGCGATTATAACTATATCAGCAACAAGCAATATTAGGAGAAACATCAAGAGTAGGTAAATAGATTTGTTTAAAATTCGTGCAACCAATTAAGAAATTATTATGAACCAATGTCAGCTCGGTGTCGCCTTCTTACTAATAAGGATCTATTTGTGCTGAGAGACGTCGGTGTAGGACAGAATCCAGCCCAGCCGAGAGATGATGACGAGGATCACACCTTCTTTACGCACTTGTAAGATTTATATTATTTTAATTCCGCTACAATTAGCATGTGTGAGATCACAAATATTCAGTGCGGAAACTTGACTACCGTTACGACCTTCTCTAATGACGATCAAATTCCGACCGTTATTGAGTCTACATCCATATTGCGACACGTGTTTCGCCTCTGAACGAGGCGTTGTAAGGCGTTGAAGAGTTCGGAGTTCGTTGGCTTGAAAGCCTAGTGTTCATTCTTCGGCGACCAAACCGCGACTCTGCGCCGAAGAGTTAACTCAAGTTTTCACACCGAATATATTGTGATCTCACACATGCTAATTGTAGCGGAATTAAACAAAATAATGTAAATCCATCGAGTAGTGAAATGGACTTCCGCAAAATAACACCTAATTAGATTAAATATTTATATTGATTTTTTAAAGTAACTTCCCTATGTTATTGAAATACTGCTTAGGTCGATAAAGTCTGTATCATCTCACATCTCTCACTTTTATCACTAACTTATCGTAATGCGATGTAGCTACGGAGAGAATACGAACCCTCCAGAGATCCCTGGCAGCTATTTAATTATAGACCTCCGACGGCTACAGTGAGATATTTTCTCTAATTGATGGGTATAATTGTTATTACAGTCCTAAGATAATAAGTTCACTGTAATAACTGCACAGTTGAATCTTAACCAAGTACGTATGTACTGTAGCCGTCTCTCATCAACTCATTTCGAGGGCTGTCTCACATGATAAACTCTTCTGAGAGCTGATTGTAAACTATCCAAGTATTAAGTTAGATTATTTACATACAAACTTGTAGATCAACGTTGGGACGTTATTTAAGTAGTTTCTTTACTTAGGTACATGTCGAATGTGTACCTTACATACATAACATAGGTAGGTATGTATGCACGAGGAGGCACTAAACTATTCGGACAACGTATAACACTGGTTCATAATTATAGTAATTTTATAAGTACCATGTAATTTAAAAGTAAACCAGCCTACACAGACGGTAAATAAACGTCAAGTTTATAAGTTCGCTGGAGTTTAATTAGATTATTTATTAACATTCAATGATTAATACATGATGGCACCAACTAACTATTGGTGGTTTATAATTTGATAAAAGTTTCAAGCTGTGGTTATTTTTGTTTGTTTGGTAATATTTTGTGGGTAGGTACTTCTATGTAGTTCTGTAGGATTTCAACATAGTCATATTATAATATAAACTTCATGAAGCACTTTATTCTTATTAATAGGTATTAATAGGTAGCATTGCTGGGTACAAGTACTGTAACTTGAGTGCGATCAGTTACCTGCCCACGTATTGTCATGTCACGTTTGGCAATTATTGTAAGTGTAAGTCAATTATAATAAAGTTGTAACAAGTCGGTGGCAATCCATAGGTTCACATGTTTCGGCGGTGCACTGTCCGCGGTTCACACAGCACTAGTGGCTCGGTAGTTCAGTTGCCGGTCGCCAGTGGGAGGGTTCGGCGCGGAACGTCCGCGGCGGACTACTGTGTCTGTCTGACACTCGGCGGCGACAGAGACACGCACCGCACCACGGTCGCCCTGATACTGAGCCGACAACCAGCGACCGCCCGCGGAAACGCACGAAACTGAAACTCGCACATGTAGACCGAGAGCCTGCACACGACACGGACAGGCAGAGAAATTTATAAAAAATATTTCTAAGGTAATAAACGTATACGTAATAAACGTATACGTAATAAACTATTCTAAGATAATAATACGATGTTGTCGGTTGACACGATGTATATTACAGATGATAATAGACTCACAAAATGTACATGAAAATATTGATCTTATATACTAAATGACAATAGGAAAATGTAAGGTGGAGTGACTCAGTTTAGACACGGCAGTGCTTAGTAGACAATATTGAGTTTATCTTACTAGACATTATTAAATACAATTATTGTATTGATGTATCTAGGTAACTGTGTCCCATACTCACCATAACGTTGTATTTATATGACTTTATGGTAAGTTCTTATGGTAATAGTGGTAGACTCGATGGTAAACTCATGGTGGCATAGAATGGCTTCTTTTATTAAATTTGAAGTATTTTAGTAATCAGAATCACCTATAATTTTATTAAAAATCACGTAGTAACCTACAGTATAGAGTATTAAAATGATGTAACAGGAATATTGTTGTAATTTGTATATAGTAGCAAGCCGACTCCCTCTACGAGCTACGTAGCGTATGTTCTAAACATACGCTACGCCGTAGTCGGGTACGTAGCACGCCCGTAGCCTTTACTAGCTGTGCATTTTACTCTTCGTGTACAAGCAGTAGGTATTCGGAATAACTACAGCATTACTGAATTTGTGATCTTTTTTATTTTAAATTCGACAACACACATGAAATGTCAATAAAATGTTTCGGTTTATATTCAATATGTTCACAGATTCGGATGTCAGCGGTATATAATTCAGTAAGCATCCAGTCTAAACTGGCTCATGGCGACTTTTTACATTTATTTTTTACTAGCTTTACCCGCGACTTTGTACGTGTGGTATTCGGAATATAAATACATTTATATTATTATGAGCTTTCTTATTTTATAATCTAACTAGCGATTTTAAATACATATATGAAATTGTTACAATTTTTAATTAAATTAATCTTTCATGGTCTGCAGTCGTTGCCGTCTCCTGGTCCACTCTGACACTCTTATCGACTGTAACGCTGAAACGAAGGCAGCTGGGATGCGTGCCGGTGTACGGCGACGGCGACGGCGACGGCGACTCAGATCGAGTCGCGGGGGCGGGGGCGGGGGCGGGGGCGGGGGCGGGGGTGTGACGGTAGAGGGGCGGGACTGTGTGACGTCACAGCGGCGCGCGGCATTTGATAGCACGCGAGCCCGCCGCGACACGCGCCCCTACACCACACACTAGTCAGTTGACGCCGCGGCGCCGATACCAGACTCACCATGAATTCACCAGAAATGTATAGAAATAGAAATAATCTTTATGAGTAGTCATATTTTGATTCTACCACTCATTCCGAATGCAGACTCATCACAAGAAGAATGAGCAAGAAACTTGAGTGTTGCTCTTTATAAGTAGTTAGTTTTGTAGTACGCTGAACTATAGAATATAGTTTGTGAAGTTCGAAGTAACTTAACTGAACGATATTCTACAGTTCAGTATATCGTATGCACAAAATATGTACACTTAATACCAAACAAGATAATAGGACTGTTTAAACAGTTTCATCATCTTTTTAAGCAAAATATTCTGGATCTACAATATTTATGGAGGTAGTTTGTAGTCATCATCTGGGCGCGTGACTGTTGCCTATTAAGGCCACCGAGCAGCGTGGTCAGCAGGGGTTCAAGGACATTATAACGCTGTAAAATTACAATGTACATAGAGTTGTAATTTAGAATTTGTTTGTCAGTCGTGACATCGTAGTTTTTCGGAATGGCAACGCGGGAGGCGCACGTCGTCACCTGATGACGTAATGCCCGTAGTATTGTACATGAGGCAATAAAGTTCTATTATATTGTATTCTAGGCAACGGATTTCCCTTGTGGCGACTCTAGCGACTATCAAGAAGCCAGTCGCTGCGGACGGAATCCCTTCTATACTCTCACTTTAATATTATATCTAAGTTAACTATTTTGTACAAATATACTCGGCATCTGTAATATTCTTACAATATATACTAGAAAATATTCGCGACTTAATATGTCTCTTCACCTCTTTTTTCTTGGTGTTGCCATATTGGCTATAACCGCCGCTAAACACTTACCATCACAAAAGCAGACAGCTTTTGCCATTCCATGTGCATTAAAAATATAATAGAAACTAGCTGTCCCGGCAAACGTTGTTTTACCATATAAATTAATAACGCTGTAAAAAATAGGGGTTGGTGATAGAAGGGTGAAAATTTTGAGTTGTATGTATTTTTTAATGCCACATAATAAAACAATAAAATAATAGTTGTTTATCAAAAATGAACAAAAAAAATTTGGGGTAAGCCTTAATACTTGGGGTATAAAAATGAGTTATAAACCTATTCTCAGACCTACTGAATATACATATAACATTTCATCGAAACGGTCACCCAGTTTCAGAAGAGTAAGACAAAATCTGTGACACGAGAATTTTATATATTAGACTAGCTACTCGCCCCGGCTTTGTTTTATACTATGTAGTGATCATGTTATAGCACATAGATTTTTATTTCAAAAGGAATTCCGGTCCACTTGACGCTAAATGTAAGTGACTAGTAAGTAAGTGCCGATGTTTGAAGCCGCATAAGTATTAGGCAGATTGATTTTAGAAGAACAACTCTAGTACATCACATTTAAACTAGTGTTCATGTTGCTAAGTAACGGGTTATATGTAACGTGCAGCTGTGATCAATCTTCTATAATGCTATTAAAGTATATTTGCTGCTAATGAACATCCCCGTCAATAAGACATATATTTTTACTATATTTAGTTACTGTAACAATGTACAATAAACTGCCAATATAACTGAACAAACAAACTGACCTTTTATGTATAGTAAATAATAATGCAACAAAGTAGTTAGTAACAGGTGGGAACTGCACAAAATGAATAACAACACCAACTCAGTGTAGCGGCATGCAGTAACGTTACGAGTATGTATGTATGTATGTATGTACTACGAGTACACCACACGCCACTCGTAAATGTTTGAGATTAGAGTGTTGTTTAAAAAATATGGAATTTAATTACCAGCGGCCCGTAATACTTTGTAACAGGAACTCGGTTGATAAAAAATTTATTACATTTTTTAAATGAGTTAAAATGTTTCATGTCCATAACGTGTGTGTAGCCTGCAACGTTTGTAAGCGCGTAGTACCCTGGTCGGTACTCCCGCACATCTTTTATAACAAGAGGTCGCAGCATCACCACTTGGGTTCCAGCGTGTGGTAATGAATTCCCTGTCGATGGCGAGCGATGATGATGATGCGATGGTAAAAGGTTGCCGTCAGCATCATGTCAGACAATTCTATTAAATAATCATTACATAGTATAAAACAAAGTCGCTGTCGGTGTCTGTCCGTCCCTATGTATTATTAAATCTTTAAAACTACGCAACGGAATTTGAGGCGGTTTTTTTAATAGATACGGTGATTCTAGACGAAGGTTTATATATATAATACATGTACACTCGAGCGCAGCCGGGGCGAGTAGCTAGTAAATAAATAATATAAAATAGATATGATGCCGCTCAGTGAACTGTTTCGTTTACAATTTTATATTGATTTCCTTTGCTAGTGTGTAGTTGTGCATTGTTCCCCTAATCGTCTCTCACGACATTCCACGAACCAATGACAAGGAGCAGTGACACATAGACTCGCCCCGACACACTGGCGGATCAGATATACTGTTATGATCTCGTCACAAGTGCAGTACCAATGGACCTCTGAACATATTGTTGAGTCCACAAAGTACACCGCACTGTTACCGATATGAATAACTAGTTTTATTGGAAATTATCTTTTTAAAGTAGGTAATACAACTAATATTAAATATAAAAATAATCAATATTTTTTGTGTGATCAAAAATAGAGAAAGTTTTTGACACTGAAAAAGTTTTTTGGGAAACTAATTGAATAAAAAAATTAAAATAAACTAGTAATCAGCTTCGGTTTTGTCGGTTGTTCGGTTCGGTGTTCGGTGGTTAAAAAATAAAATTTAAAAAAATGCAATGCACACAGCATTACATTTTTTTTTATTTTATTTTTTATGACGTACTCGCATTATATATATATATATATATAAACCAATAAAATACGTTGTGTAATTTAAAAAGATTTAAAGATCAGTACAGTCAGCGGCACCCAGTCTGTTTTATATTATTCATTCATAATTTATGAGCGTGCTCTTGTCGGTGGAGCTCCCGCCACCTTCCACGATCTTCCAGTTCACTTCTTCAGATACAACAGACACCGGCGAGCTGCGCGCGCCACGTGTCACACCGCAACACCCTCCACCAGGACATTACACACCAGTGGTATTGGAGTTATAGCATGCAATTATTTATTTAATAAAACGGAAAACCAGGCTACTTACAAACGTATTAAATCAAAACGCCCACTTACAGGTTTTTACGGAAACAAATGTAATCTATACATATAAGTAAAATTGGAGTGTCTGTATGTAATACTGAAATAACAATTTTATTACAGTTTAGTTACATGCATATATGAGTATAAATACGGTACATACACCAAAATAACATTTTTTTTACAATATTTGTCTGTCTGTCTGTTTGTTCCGGCTAATCTATGAAATAGCTGGACCGACTTTGACGGTACTTTTGCAGGTAGCTGAAGTAACAAGGAGTAACTTAGGCTACTTTATTTTGGAAAAATATAGTTACATTCCACGCGGACGAAGTCACGGGTACAGCTAGTATAAAATAAATTACAGTACCACGAGAGGCGTGTATGTCATAGGTACTTATAAAATCATACATCAAAAAATA